TTATTATCTTAGTGATGCATTTTTTTAAGTGTACCTAACATTATTGGGCTGTATTTATATGAAGTGCTCACAATGAGCTCTGTGGTTGTCAAACAGTTGGGAATATTTTGATCCTATAATCAATGCTAAGATATCGTAATTTTTAAGCTGAAACCATAATTCCTTAATAAGACCAAACTGGAATGCAAATGTCTAACTGTCAAGCTTTTCTGGTACTTGATCATTTTTATCATGTGTTGGAGGGAAAAAAATACAATACTGTAGAATTGGACACATGTTAAAACCATAAACAAATGCTACAACAGAACAGGAAGAAATATCTTTTGTAGCCATATACAACTAGAGTAGATTGCTTTTAACTCTCAAATTGAAATGTCAAATTTTCAACCTGAAACTGCAGATGTTCTTCAGGTTGAAGTCCAACAGAGTGCTGACAGTAATTTTCAGTGCAAAAATTCTCCTTAATTCTTGGGTTTGTGTTTAATCTGAATGCCAACAACTCTCAGAGAGAGATTAAATAGCTATTGCCATTGCCAATAAATTACAATTGGGAATTAAGGATTTTGAGTTAAAGGAAATTTTAAAAAAAGAAAAGAAAAGAAAAACTGACAAGATGAAGAAATAGCTACAGCTCAAGCTATCTATTATGGAGCCAGATGAGCAGATGACTTTTCAGGAAGATAATTTGGGGAAAGTTTACAGACACTACCATTCCTATAGTTTACATGAAAAAAATTTATAATGAATTTTTAGATGTTTTATTTTTAATTTTAAAATGTATGATAACTCTTTTAAATATATGCCTAAAATTGGTATGCTCCATATATGCTCTCTGCCATTATATACTCTTTAAACAGTAACATTTTAAAAGTAAAGTAATTATTGTCAGTGATATGGACTGAACATTTTGTGTGTCCAAAATTCATGTGTGGAAGCCCCAGTTTACAGGTGGGTGAGAAAGTGGCCATCTGCAACTTGGAAAGCAGGCTGTCACCAGGAACCAACTCTGCCAACACCTTGATTTTGGACTTCCCAGCCTCCAGAACTGTGAGAAATAAATGTCTACTGTTTAAGCCACACGGTCTATGACATTTTGTTATAACAGCCTGAACTGATTTTAAAAGTCATCAATGGCCAGCTGCCATGGCTCACACTTGTTATCCCAGCACTTTGGGAGACTGAGGCCAGTAGATCACTCAAGGTAGGGAGTTCAATACCAGCCTGGCCAACATAGTGAAATCCCATCTCTACTAAAACTTCAAAAATTAGCTGGATGTGTGGCCCATGCCCATAAACCCAGCTACTTGGGAGGCTGAGGCAGGAAAATCACTTGAGCGCAGGAGGCAGAGGGTACAGTAAGCCAAGATTGTGCCACTGCACTCCAGCCTGAGCAACAGAGTGAGACTGTCTCAAACAACAACAAAAGTCATCAAGTAAATGAAAATAAGCTTGCAAAAAGAGCTTTGTCGTGAGGTCAGTGGTACACAGATTCCATATAAATCCAGGTACTTGCAGTCACATTTAAGAACAGTTGTCATTAGATAATGTTATCATTCTGTGTTGCAAAAGCAACATGGCAAGCCATGTTGACCACTGAGAGTAAGAGGAACTGAAATTATCTTGATGAAGAAAATTTCCTAAAAGTGAATTTGATCAACATTTAACTAATATGCATTTCTTGTTTGCACGATGTTGGGTTATGAACTATAATGGTGTGTTAGTTTTCTAGGGCTGTCATAACAAATAACTGAAACAACAGAAATTTGTTATCTCACAGTTCTGGAGACTTCAGAGATCTGAAATCAAGATGTCAGCAAGGCGATCCTCCCTCCAAAGGCGAATAATCTTTCCTTCCCTTTCAGTTTCTGGAGGCTCCAGATGTTCCTTAGCTTGTGGATGTGTAACCCAATCTCTGCCTCCATCTGTGGACTTCTCCTCTGGGTGCCTTCTCTTTTTCTGTGTCTTCTAAAGATCTGTTGCCATTGAATTTAGGACCCACTTAGATAATCCAGGATGAGTTCAAAATCCTTAATTACATCTGCGAAGACCCTTTTTCAAAATAAGGTCCAATTCACAGTTCGGAGTGGACATAGCTTATCTTGTGGGCATAGGGCACCGTTCAACCCACTGCAAATGGCAAAGAAGACGGTGAAAATTCAGAAGAGAATATAAATAATGAAAGCTTGAAATTATCTTATTATGGATATTAAAAATAAAATAGATTGTTATTAATATTGTGGGTGTGTGTGCGTGCGCGTGCTACTTGAGAACAAGGAAAACTGAAAGTAAGACCATATAAAATCACTCCTTACTATATGGGAACTTTGGGATTAAATGTTCTATTTTACCTGATATATGTCAAATAGCTAATTTTGGTTTGACTGGGATTCCAAATAATTAGCATCCCCTTACAATTGGGCACATGTCATGCATAATTCCTAAATATACAGGTTTGTTTTTAACGTGAGAATAGGAAAAGGGAATAATCTAGGATGATAACAAGTGGGGAAAATCTCTGCCTGGCCATGAGCTACCCTCGTAAATGATAACAAAGTGAGCTCACCAATAGGCTGATTAGGCTGGTTTTCTTTTTGGGTGTCTATGGGCCTCATACTAAATCATAAACAGAGAGAGAAGCTCCTGCTTCCTAAGCCCCTTGCCTCCCTAGCTTTGAGAGTGAGCCAATCAATTCTGTGTTCTTCCTTATTATTTAGAATATTCAACTGATACATCTGTTTTTATTATCTACTAGGGGTCTTTTATGTTCATCTCTGCTCAGGCTTTTGAAGCTATAATTGACTATTGAAAAGCACCATTCCAAATGCAAGATCTTAGATGTAGGGGTCTTGGAGCGCAGCCTTCCCTCCTTGAAATTCAGTATAAAGTTTGGTGTTTCTGAAACTTTTCTGTGAAGCAGTCTATTTTAAAATCACATCCTGAAGAAGTCCATTACCTCAAAAAGGTAAGAATAGCCACAGGTTGGCTCAATGCCATGAACCATGTTTGCTGTTGACCTTTGGAAAATTCTTTAGTTTCCACGTGCAATAGTATTAATTCACATAGGAATAAAAACAAATACCTTTGAATCACATGTGAGACAAATGTTTCAAGGAAGGGCACAATGGATAGCCATCAACATGGTTGGCAGATCTTCCAAATGTGCCCACATGAACAATACCTTGTGGTTGCTGTTTAGTAGGGGGTTCAAACACTTGTCTCTGTTCATTTCAATTCACATCTCAGCAAGCAACTCCATGGATTTACCAGAACTCTTCCCTCCAGGGAGAACTGACTACTCCCTCAATTCTGTCCCCACTGGTTCCTGTATAGCTACCTACAACCTCTATATTTCACTTATTACATATCTTTCTTTCACATCCAGATTTTGTAACCCACCATGTCCTATTCACTTTTGTATATAAGCACCTTAGCAGATAGTAGATTTTTAAAATTATTTTTCAAGAGGATGTATGAATGGATGAATGAATGGGAAACACTGGTTGTGTATGGACAAGATGTCTCATTAAAGCTGCTCAGAATCGTCCCAACCAAGAGGCTGAAAACTACCAACCACCCCCTTGGTTGGCCCTGCCTTCCACACATCAAGAGGTACTGAACTGAGCCTACAGCTTAACCACAGAAATAAACTGTACGAGGAAAAAAGTCCATGTATGTTCCCAGAGTACCCTTTCCTTTAAAAAATATCCAGAATTAGGCTCAGGTGCCCTGTGGATGCAGAATGCTACTATTTCAAAAGTATATCTTCACTTCTGATGTAATATTTTTATTGAGAAATATACGCATGTCATTCTTGGGCAGTGGAATAACCCTGTGCTATGGCAGAAGCAGCAAGATGAAATTCAACTTTTGTCCCAGGTGGGGCTGGGTGCTAAGCTTGGCTACTCTGGGAGAGTCAACCATTTTGTAGGATAGCTGCCTGGTGTGCACTATCAATTGCATGTTTATTATACTGGAATAGTCCTGGTACTTATGGAAAAGTACAAATAACCTAAAAATGCAGTGTAAACCCCCAACTCTAAAAACGCCACCTTTTCAGTTGCTTAGACCAAAAAGTCTTAGAGTGATCCTTGATTCATCTCTTTATCTAATATCCAACATCCAAACCATCAGCAAATCCTGTTCAATCTTCAAATTTTGCCCAGAATTTGACTACTTCCTGCCACCTTCATTATTACTGACCTAGAGGAAGGTAGTATCATCTTTTGGCTGCATTGAAATCTCCTCCTACCCATTTTCTGTCTTCAGTCTGTGTTCTCCCACAGTCTATTCTCAGCAGAGCAGCAAAAATTATCACTTTAGATCAGACAACATCCTGCCTCTGCTCAAAATGAGACTTTTCCCACCTCACTCAGAGGAAGTGCCAAGTTCTCACAATGGTCTTCAAGGCTCTATATGGTCCAGCCCACTTTGTCTCTCTGACCTTACCTCCTGCAATCTCCACCTCTTTCAAGCCACTCCAGCATCAGTGTCCTTCTTGCTATGCCTAGAATCTCACATATTTTTTCTAAGTGGAATTTTGTTTTCCAACAGAACAAGAGACAAACAGCTGGCTTTGGCTTTCTTTCTGAGAGTCCCTAACCACTTACATTTAGAAGATTCACAGCCCCAGGCCACATTCAGGGCAAGTACTTTCTGCTCTGTTCTAAGGCTTATGGGGTTAGAGGTCAAATATCAAGTCCAGCCTGCCATAGGTTTGTGGCTGGGCCTCTGTGCAATTTCCTTGAGAAGCTATGCACCCAACTTGGTTGGGCAAATGAACATGTGAGCCATGAGTGAGGAAAAGAGTAATCTTAAATGCATCCGAATAACCTGCAGGGCTGAATTTTAACAACCTTCCTGCTAGCTAGGTGAATTTTCTAGTTTATGCTTCCCCAGCAAGAGTTTGTTGACCGCCTACTACCTAAGCTGCACACTAGAATCGAACATATGGCGCTTGAAAAATGACCATGGGACTGGAAAGACAGAACCCAAGGGAAGATAGTCATCATAAAAATGTTTTATTAATCAAATATATTTACATTTCTTGGTCAATGATTTCTAAATGTGTGCCTGTTTTTTATTTAAATACAACTGAATCCTGGTAGATTCTATCACAAGAATACAGCAGCATGCATGATCTCATTGGTCCTTTGCAGTTTTTTTTTTCCATTAAATAATGTGAATTTAACAAAGTTAGAAAACTTTATTAAGTTTTACCCATTCTTACTGCAGGATAATCATTCTTGTTACACCAGTGGCCCTTACGGAGAACTACACACTCCTCATCACCCACAGTAAGCTTCTTCTCATTCTCTTAACTGACTTGTTTAAACTTTCCAAAATCCAAAAGGCAGATGTGAAATTGGGCGTTCACTCTAACCATTTTACTTGGTGGAAAGTAGGAGAGAGATATATTTCTATTCCAATAGGGAACATTTACAGCCCTAAACTTAAAATAACCACATTAAAGAAATTCATACAATGTCCTAATAGCATCTAAATATCACACTTCTATTAGCATACTACAGAACTTGATGCCTTCCCCTTGATATAATAAAATAATTACCTTGGGACATTAAGTTTCCAAAATAATTTTTACTGATCTCAGCCAAAATTTTCCTTAATACCTTAGTCACCACCTTGGCCTCTGCATTGGAACCAGGGGATGCTTTTTCATGAAGTACTTAGAATTGCTGAGGAGAATAATTTTGCCTTTGGCTTTTGCTATTTCATTTTCTCCAGGTTGGGAGAAACTAGAGAAGTATACTAGATTGTTCAGAGAAAGTGAGTCAACAAGGGTTGATTTTGTTAGCATTAGACAATAATACCCACATTTGGGTCAACAGAGACCAGGGGTTGGCAGACTTTTGCTCTAAAATGGCTGCTTTCCCTAACATGTGGCAATCACCTGATACGGCACAGTTGTTTTTAAACATGAAAGAGCTGTGCTGTAGAAATAGATCTACAACTTGTTAAAGTTTATATCCAGACTGTTTTCAGCTGAGAGTGATGTGCCAAAGTGGGAGAAAGGCACCACCAAGGATGTCTTTCAAGGCAGGAAACAGGAAATATCAACTAGAAGCCCACCATGTTTGACGATGAAAAGAGATTTATCATTTCAACAAACAACTGTCCGCATTAGAATCATGATCTAGAGGAAGAGGAAGCAGCATACATTGTGGTTTCAATATACCACAGTAAAAAATTGCCTTGTAATAAAGCCAGTTCATGAAGACATTTTCTTCACTGACTTTTTGAACAAACCTCACCATTTCATCTAGATTGTGCCCCAAGACTTGAACTGGTTTCTTGAGTACCTCATGCATGTAACTACAGTATTGCTGCCTTTGACAAACCAAACCTAAATGACCCCAGTCTTTCTACTTCACTGCTTTAAACCAACAGGCTAACCACATAAGCCCATGTTCCTAATGCACACAACTGCATAATGACTCCATTGATGCCTGAAAAGTAACTCACTTAGCATTCAGTCAGAAGAAAGAAAGAAAACGAGATTCCACTTAGCCCCACTGAGGATGTGTTTTTACGTGTTGATAGTGTTAGAGTCTCGTTCTCTTCTGGCCACTCTCCAACACAACCTGCCCTTCCTGCCTGTTGCCATTTGTCCTAATGTAGATCACACTTGAGAGGGTTATTGTTTTTTTCTTTCAATGTGGAATTTTAGTTTCCTGTTTAGAAAAACAAAAGCAGTGCCTGCCAGCAATGAAATATTTGAAGTTCTGTCCAGCAACAGAGATTTGGGGATGACAAAATCAGCAGCTATGACGATACATATTTTAACAGCATTTTACCATTGTTTCAACAAACATTTTATAAATAAATTACGCTTGTGTTTATTAATTTTTAAAAGCCCTTGTTCTCAAAAAAAAAGCTTTACATAGAGAAGTATTTTCCCCTTTTAACAACTGCCTGTTTATGGCTTTAATGAAGGCAAAAACCCAAAGAAGCCACAAGGCTCAAACTGTTAAGCATTTATGAGAAGGGGATAATGGTAGTATCTTTGTTATGGAGTTACTGAGGATTACATGAGATAATCCACAGTAAGCATTAGAACAAGGCCTGACAGTAATTGCACAGCATAAGTTATAATCATTGTCATCATTCCCACCAACATCTGTGGGAATAAGCTCAGAATGTCCTTATGTCTCCACTAAAATTTCCTCCACAGATTCGTTTCTAAGTGCAGCAGTAACATATTCAGTCTACAGGAAAGACAACTCAAATGTTTCATGGCTTCACCTTGTTTTCTGACATTTATCAGTTTACATATTGATCTGATGAAACATCTGGCATTTATTATTTAAAAGAAGAAACTAACGATTTTAAATGTCAAACACAACCATGGAATACAGGTTAAACATCTGTGGCGAGGATTCCACAGATAAAGCAATATTCTTTTCAGTTTGGCTTCCATCTGGCCAGTTGTACCTGACGGCTGATCTTTAGATTTATGGAATGTAGTCTTGGGGAGAGCTGAAATAGGTGCCTTCCTAGGACCCTGCGTTGTTGTTTTGTGGTAGTGCAGATAAATGCTAGTGAGGGGAGAACCTTAAACTTTGGGTGGATAATCACCCAGATATCTAGTCACCAAGTCAAATTTTTCAAAGCTCTTCACCTTACAAGGATCCCGACAAGCCAATGACATTTCTGAAACTTACTGTTATCATTTAAAGAAGGATATATCTCAATATCTTTCAGAATTTGATGTCAGAAACTGATAAAGGATCTGGGAAATAAAAATTAAATTCACATCAATGAAGAAAAAGATAAACAAACCTTTTGGGAAATGTGATTATTTACTTTGTTATTCCTGGCCTGGTTTCTGCAGGCATGCGTAGCATTAATATGAGAGCAATGAATTTGCTCCTAAACACAGGCTGCTGGGTACACCCAGAGTGACCCATTAACCCTGCTGTTCTGGAAATGCCCCTCTTTGTGAGATGGGCCATGTTTCCCATTTTAAACAACTCAATAGATACTTGCATCTTATATTTTAAATTAGTACAAAACAAATAATGATGTTACTTTTGCACACTGGGGACAGAGACTTCACTGCCAACAGTTATCATGAATGAGGCACCTGCAACCCATTCAGGGTTTCCAAGTTCCTTCCCTGAGCAGCTCCAGCCCTGTCCCCCACTTGTTGTCTTATCATTGAAAGGGGGTCATAAAAAAAACCCAAGACCTAGGCTCTAATTCTGGTCTCTTGATACTGCTAACAACCAATAGCCCAGTGAGTTAAGCAAAGACAACCAAGTTGTACATCTTAGCTTGGTTTGCAATATGCTGTCTTCTGGTCTCAGATGAATTTACCTCTCAGATTCTCCCAGTTGGAACAATATCTTTAACTTCACTGAGACAATGGTCTAAAGGACTAAAATACCCATGTTACCAGCAGCCACATAGGAAGAGAATATTATTTTATCATGAATAGTTGCTTAAATAATGCTGCTTGTGGTGAACACCTAAAATAGGGTCTTTATATAAAACAAAAGTTCAATAAATACTTGTTGAATAAATGAATGAAACAAACATTTGATTTAAAAATTGATGAACTGCTAAATGTTTGTATAAATCTTTGTATACCTCGACCAGAATGAAATCTTTAAAAGGTCATATTCAATTATGAGCCTTATGAGGATACAATGATGTCATGATCTTTTTCTGTTATATAGTTTCTCAAGAAGGCTACATTTGAATGAACATGATAAAAAATGTACCAACTGAATCAAATTATATAAATTATACAAGATTAAGTTTTACAGCTTTAATTAGCCATTCGATAATTTTTTAGAAGTCTATCTCCTCCAAAAAAGAGTCATTTTTAAAGATAAAAACAAAATGAAAATGAAAAGTTTATCTAAGAAAAATGTATGCACATATCCTGGGGAAAAATACAACTTTGCCTTGGGATATTGAGATTTTTCTAGAAATGCAAAGGTCTGCAGCTCCACCTCTCATCCTGTTGCACCTTGGCTTTTACCTGGCATTACCCTTTGACTTAGACTCTTTGCTAAATAAATGAGCATACGCTAGGATGTAAAGTCTTATTCTGAAAAAAAAAAAAAAAAAAAAAAGAAAAAAAATTATTGGCTGGGCGTGGTGGCTCACGCCCGTAATCCCAGCACTTTGGGAGGCCGAGGCGGGGGGATCACGAGGTCAAGAGATCGAGACCATTTTGGTCAACATGGTGAAACCCTGTCTCTACTAAAAATACAAAAAATTAGCTGGGCACGGTGACGGGTGCCTGTAATCCCAGCTACTCAGGAGGCTGAGGCAGGAGAATTGCCTGAACCCGGGAGGCGGAGGTTGTGGTGAGCCGAGATTGCGCCATTGCACTCCAGCCTGGGTGACAAGAGCAAAACTCTGTCTCAAAAAAAAAAAAAATTATTATTATGTCCCCATTGACAGAAAAGAGTAAAGACGAAGTGCTTCAAGAGCCAAACCCTGATTCAGCTCTGACAGACTACCTTTCTCATTTTAAATATCCTTTCCTCAGTGACTCAGAGCTTTTATTCTCTTCACAGCACTACTAATTAGGAAGTCACTAATAAGAAAAACTAGCAAATCTTTATGACTGCAATTTCTACCACCCTTTTGCTGTATCCCAGGGGATTGTGTGTCCACTTTAAATAGAAAAGTCTAAAGCAATTGTTAGGAAGTTTCAAGGAGGAACCTCCTCTCCAGCACACACTTTGATTAAAATCATTTTGGACCCAAATGATCTCAGTACCTGCTTCAGGGTTCCCAGTCAATGTCCAGGTATAAGCCTGTCTGTGGACAGACAGCCTAGGCTTGTCTGCTAGAAGCTGGCAATAGGACAGCAATATAAAAATTGTGAATGTGCCCACATGCCTGGAAAATTAGAGTATCCAATTTTCTATTTGTTAAGCAGAAAATATTTTCTAACCAAATTTGATGGAATATATATGCCAATAATTTCTCTTAATAATAGCGGATTCACATAAATTTAAATGGAGCAGAACACTAGAAGAGTATTTTGGTGTAGAGGTTACTGTCACATTCAGTGGAAGTTTGGGATCAGATAGCAAAGCCATCAGGGTGGCAAGAGAGATCGTTGTTATGGAAACCCTTCCCATGCCAGGTATCAAGGGAGGAGGGAGGCCTTCTCATCTTCCCATGTTCTGAAGCTCATGAGAACTGAGTGGGTACATTGTGTTCAACTGTGCAATGTGGCAAATGGCAGAACTGGTTTTTCACATCAAATGAAAAATATGTTAAAAACATACAGGTGATTCCCTATTCTTTTCAAGAAGTTTGGGTAAATGTTTCAACCTTAATAAATGGAACAGCTTACTCATCTGTAGAATGATCTGTCCTTTTCTTACAGGTTTCAGGTTAATATGGATACATTTCATTCACCCGTCCCGATGACACACATTGTTGGTAAATGCCTCCATCACTTAGGGCAGGGAATTGTAAAACCAGAACACATTCCTAACTACCAGAGAGAACAGTTTCAATCAGCTACTGTTATACAGCTGCAAAGATTCCTTACTACTTTCATGACCAGGAGAGAGTAAGAACTGGAGGTAAATTCTAGGTGAATGGTATGAGATTGGGCAAAAAAGAGATCAGAATAGGTCATATTTCTCTTTATGGCCTGGGGTCCTAGAGATTATTATTATTGTTATGTGTATATATGCATATATACATATATAAATAACTATAAACACTTATTAATGAGGCTCTGTTGAATTCCATTTAAAACATGGTAGCTGGGCTGCTAAGGAATAGAGAAGCAAAATTAAACGGAAAGAGAGATTTTCTGAGTCAGAGGCATAATAATAGATTAAACCATGCAGTATCCTTGCCTTTTAGTAGTGAGTTCAGTTATGTGTCTCATTTTTATTGAGGGAAGACAATGGGAAAGCTCAAAGACAAGGAGTTCCTTAAAAGACTATGTCCTGATATCAGGTGATGATGCAACTTACAAACAGAAATTGTTGTTATTAAACACTCTAGTTTTTATCCAAACTGGCCATTGAGGTAGACAGTCTCTGAGATGCTGCTGGGAGCTATCAGTTTTTCCCAACATAGATCATTTCATTAAATGTGACCCAATTTCATTGAGCACCACTGCTGAACTACCAACAGGCTAGCTGAAATTAAACTCACTTTCTAAGCACTCAAAGAATAGTGAAATTGTATACAAAATTCTTTTTCTTTCAATTAATCAATCTCGAGAAAAGAAAAGGTAATTTCACTGATAAAATTGGCTACTCCTGGGCTATCTCTTCTAACCACAACCTTCTCCATGGTTCCTCCTCTCAAAGTCTCCTTGTCTGGGCTATTTTCACCTGTATTTGTAGAAATGCTCCCCCCACACTCAGGAGAAAGGAAAGGGGGCTCTTGGGGTTCATCGATATGAAGAAGAAAGATAAAACTGCTAAAAGGGCCTTGATAATGGGGGTTGGCACTATTTTTGTTCACATGATCAACACTTTCACAGAAACAACTAAAAAAATTACATGAAGCCTAACACCTTATCTCCAGCCTTAGACCAAAGAACTTTATTTTTGTTTTCTTTTTTTTTAAGCTAAAATGTTATTGAAAACAAACTTTTCTCAACGAACTGCTTCGGAACAATATAACGTATTATGAAGCTCCGTACATTTTACATGTTCTTGCAATCTTGACAGGACAAAGTAAGTCCTCAACTTTTTCCTTTGAATTTTGAAATTGAAACCATGTACTTCCTTTTCCAGACTCTCCTGCATCAAGACCGGGCTGTTTGGAAGAAACCGTGTGAAAAGTGCATGAGAAGTGAGCATGGAAGACACGGAAATGGGATGTGTCTGGGGCTAAAGGTAGCACTGACTCTGTGAAGGCTCTTGCTCTGCTTCCCCGCAGTGGTCCCCGCTGGGGCAGCCAGCGTCAGGCCAGGCCAAACCGACACAGCAGACGGAAGGGCTGTACAGTGGGTCCCCATGAAACATGCTACTAAAAAAAAAGGTGCAACGAGAACCAAGTCCCTGTGCATCTTAGTCACAATGGAGGGCAGAAGAACCCATACGATTCCTCCCTTTGGTATTAAATAACAGTTTTTAAAAAGCTTTTTAGAAACAAAGCAAAATACATGGTGGGACTGGAAATGTTAGCCATCCCAGGTCAGTTGTCCACCGAAATACGTCTCATCTCTAGTCATAAATAAATAATCTCTTTCCTGGTCTGACTTCCATGCCAGGATCAATAGCTCTTAACATCTTACTTATTTTATTACTGCTTTTGGTTTTCTGGGACTGATTGAAAGTTGCTCAGAGGAAATCTTTGGTTTTGCTTAAGTGTCCGTGACATTTAATCATGACTTTCCTTGCAGTTTAATTCCAACCAGTCAATCAGTTAATCCACTTCGATTGATTCTGGGCTCTCGGTTATTGGCTTGCACTCATTGGGCATCCGCTGGTGTCGGCTCAGCTGGGTGGCCTGCGTGAAGCTCCTCTCACACCTCTCGCACCTGGTGGAGGCAAGAGAGAAAATTGAGACCAGGGAGCGGGGCCTGCAGGGTGATGGGCTTCCTCTCATCCTGCCTAATCAGAACAGACACTCCAAAGTGGCTTCAGATTTTACCGGCTCAAGAGGTTTAATTGGTGGCTCCTTCCAAGGCCTGGATGCCTGTGATGGGACAAAGCCCGTCTGATGCAGAACAGAGGGATCTGTCAATAGGCAGGGGGAAGGTGATTTCTCCAGAGAGCCCTGTCCTGTTGCAGCTCTGATCACTGTCAGTTCAAATAGATAAAGAACAAAAAGAGATTTTTAGGAGTGAGCCATCAAAGGAGCAGCTTGTCTGCAGTTTTCTGCTCTGTAACCCCAAAGAGAAATTGATGACAAATAGAATTTCACCTACTGCTAATTTACAATCAGGAATTCTACTCCCTTTAGAACAGCAGCCAAAGAGTGAACATCTTGGAACTTGGAAACTAGAGGAAGTAATACGTTAGATTGCAGTGACTGTGAGGGGCAGTAGGCATGGTGGCTGCTTTTTTGCAAAAGCTGGTTACAGTGTCACAGCCCAACCAAACCTAGGGTTAAAATGATTTATAAAACTAGAGTTTGCAGTGGCACAGGAGAAAGAATTATACATATGGGCTAGAATTAAGGGCAGTGTGTCTGATGAGGAGAAAATGTCACACTTCAAGATTTATCTCTTCTTAACTTAAAGGAGAAATAAACAAACAAAGACTGTAATCTAGAGACCCTGAGTCCCTCCCTATCTCCCATGTCCATATCTTCCAAACAACCTTCCCTGACTAGCTTGGTGGCTACTCAATCTACAAAAAGCAGAACACACACTCAGAATCTAATGGGAGCCTGTTGTTTTTCTGTGGATGTTGTCCCTGGCTGATTGTTTGTGACTGTGTGTGTATACACACATACCCACAGAAGAACTGTGGCAGCCGGCTGGGCACGGACAGTGACTGCTCCATCACTACCTTACTTACCTGGGCTGCCTAGAGCACTGGCCCAGCATCTAATACAGCTCAGAAGCCATCTCAGCCAACCCTAATGCCCTTTCCTCAAATCTTTGAAAGAAAAGGTATTTAAGAAGAACTACACAAAATTGTCTCACTTTTAAATAATGCAACCTCCAGTTTGTGAGCCCCTGCTCTAAGAAAGCTGTGGCAAAAGCCACCATGACATAGTAACCCTGCCTTAACACAGACAAAAAAGCCACAAGCCCTGTTATCTGTTAGGCATTCCTTCTTTCTCCTCTTTAGCATATTATGTTGAGTACCCTATCATGGAAATAAGTATCTATAAAATAGGACACATCCATCCTCTCCGGGCATTCTTGCATGTTTTTGAACATTGGGAGGCAGGAGCTTGATATTCGCATTTGGATTTTTCATGGTATCTGTACCAGTGGAGTGTGTCAAGGGAAAGAAGTTGTGTTTCTTGGATTGTCTTTCGGGGAATATTTTTAGCAGCCAGTTCCACTGTTAAAAACTGCATTGTGATCTTGACAAATGTATAATGTCAGCTTTAATGTATCAGACCTATCAGCTCAATGAAAATAACTCAGAAGTATTGATCACCTAATGATTTTTGGTGTATTCATTAACGTCCGTGGGCAGCTCATCCCCTCTCCAGAGCTCCTGGAGTGCTGAGGACACGTTAGCGAACTGCTGATTGTTTATTAGAAAACGGATTAGTTACTGGATTAGTGTGTCAAAATATACTACCTTTCACTGCTTGACAAACTTTCAAATTATTATATTCCTTTTTTTTTTATCTTGAAGCTCTAGAATCAATTTCAAAGAGAGTAGAATAGCTTGAACAATTGTGAGGAATGAAAATGTGCCCAAGTCATGGTTTTGCATTTCTAATCTTGTGTATTAGAATATGAGGAATACATGAGTTGGCAGTTTAGTACTTCCTATAAGGCAAAAGTGTATGTCTGTGTATAACATTTAAACATCCAGATTAGATGGAGACATTAAGAGGAGAGTTACATTTTTCTCAAGTGTTTGCCTAAATGCACTGCAGATATTTACACACATGGAACGATTTGTTGTAACAGTCAGAAAATTTGTCCAATATATAGGGTTCGTAAGAAGAGTATTCCAGAAAAATCATTTCTAGAGCCATCTGCGCACCAAGTGTGAGTTAAAAATACAAGCAGATGTGTAGAAATTACCTTATTTTTTCTCAGGGATTACTTCTTCTTGAGGAAAGAAGGCTACTAGAAATAATATCTACGTGGTTTGGGAATGACAAGAATACAATTTATATATGTGAGGAAGTAAGAGCTAGATATAAAAATAGTTTTTTTAAATAAGGGAAGGACTTCAGTTTTATGTTCATCATCTTACATTTTAGAGAAATCTCTTCCACAAGATATTTTCATAGTTTAATCAGCACAAGGACAGAAGTCAGAGCCAGACTTCACTTGGTTGGCATCTAAATTAACCCTGAATTACAATCCCAGATGACTGACTGGCAGGGGGATCTCCAAGCCTGGACTTCGTGCAGTGTAACAGACTAAGAAGGAAAGAAAGATGAAGGTAATGCGTCATGAGGGAGAATCGCCCTTGCACTCAGGGCCTTCACTGTGCCTTCCCTTAGCGTAGGTGCTATTGCCACAGCCTTGAGGGGAGCATCTCAGGAGGGTGAAGTGGAAAGTCTACCAAGTATTTCAGCAAAAAGAAACTCCTCAACTTTCTATTATACCATAGTGAGCATCTTAGACTTAATTATTTCTAAGGCTTGAGATCCTTCTTTACTTACTATGATGGTTGATTGGATTATATGTACAAGGAGCTTAACAAAGGATGTAAAGTTCTGTTACCACAGAAAATCTGCAAAAAGTTTTTTGTGCCTCTATGTCACCAAATACTTTTTGAATTGAACCAAATTGCACAGGGCTTTGTATGTGTGGTATGTTCAATATATATTTACTGTATTTACTGATTTGCTTCTTGGATTTGCTTTAATTTTGCCTAGTTCTTGTTCAAATATTAGATGTCCTTCAGAATTTCCTTTGATTTTTTTTTCAAAAACTCCATTTTTTTGAATGCAGCAAGAACATAGCAATGAATGATTCTCCCTGCTTCTAACAATAACGAAGAACTCCTCCTAAGGAAAATCCTGGCCTGTTCTCAGCTTCCCGGGTTTAGAAAGCCAGGCATCAGGCAGTTCACACAGATCCTCTCAGGCAGAGCAGAGCAGCCCACTGAAATCTCAAGACACTCTGTTCAGTCAGAAGGAGGAAGGAGTCCTTGCTGCAAATAATCATTTTTCGATTGCCAACTATCTTCCTTACTTCCTTCTTTCCTGCCTGCCTGCCTGCAATAAAATGCTCGGCCATTGCTGTTAAATGATATCTTGCTTTGCTCCTGTTTTCCATGACTTCCAGTATCATAGAGCAAACTGAAAGCCAAGACCTTCCATATGATCCTCTGATTTTTATTTTTCATACATGCTCCTTTGTCTTAGAAATCCTAATTCTACAGCCTAGGGTAGCTGCTGACACGCCCATCATCTACCCAGAACTTGGGAGACGGATTCTTTCCTTGGAATTTCAGCCAATCAGATATGAGGCAAAGCCTGGACTGAAACTCTGACCTCTTCATGCCAAATCTTCTCCAGCCTTCTTTGGATTGCAGTAATCTTGATATGCCTTCAAAAACCACTTCTCAGCAGAAGATTTTAGAAGTTGGAAAGGGCTTTCTCTGACATGGCAGGCTCAATCTCAGCTCACCCCTGAGAATTCTGTAAAGGCCTCCTGAGCCCAAGACATACAGTTGAGGGTTGTGTGCCTTTACAAGATTCTTCTCCTTCTTTAAAACATTGTTTAAGCCAATACCCATTAGTTGAAGTAGTAAAATTAATTGTTGTAGAGAAACCCATTTTATTGACTAATCTTCGAAGAAATAGTTTTTTTGCATGTTTGTTTTATAAGCTTGTAAAAGGATATCTTCATGATATTTACAAATGTCCATGGGATGAATATCCATGAGCTGTGCTTGGAAGATTCCCAAAATTCCCTTGGGATAGATCAATTCTAAAAGACCTGATCGTATACACTAAAGAATTTAACGTACCATTCCCTAGAAGATGTTTAAATCCTGCACTTTCAAAATAAGTATATATTCAGCTCGCCCCTGGGAATAGCTATTTGAAAAATTTAAAACAAAATTACAGCAGGTGGCTGTCTAGATAAGAGGAGGAACACACGGAACTAAAACATATACGTGGAATTTAAGCCAACACCTTGGTTGTTTTTTTTTTTTTTGTTCCAGATGTAGGTAAGTATGATTACAAAACTTATTTTTAGAACAAGAAAAACACAATCATCAAAGTGCTTCAAATATTAATCTGATGAATTAAAATTAAGTTAAAATGGCAACTCTATTGGAAACATGACAAAAACAGATGTTAAAGGAAAAAAATTGACTGGAGTCAACAGGGTTACACATAAGTAACACCTTAACATTAATAGAAATCTATTTCCCATTTTGACCCTGAAACCTCTTCAATTAATTACTAAAATCTATTTACACAGCAACAAGATAAAAATCAATCTGATTCTTGGCACTGTATTTGTCTGGCTGCCCTTTCTAATATAAGGGGCCAGAAGGATCCTGAACCCTCCTGTACCTCTGCTTTTGAAAAGCTCTCTTACTCAAAGGCAAAGGCAATGTGCCATTCACTGCCAATGCCCTCCTCCAGAGCAGTGATGAAGCCAGAATCTGGGAACCCTTTGGGACTCAGGCCAGAAGGCGATGACAAAGTACACTAGGCAGGATACAAGCACTGGTGATTGGGAACTCCTAGGACTGTGGTAGCCCATGCAGCCCCTTAGGGAGGATTAGAAAAAGATGTCCTCTGAGCTACTGCAGCCTCAGTGGGCACAGCATGGTTGGCATAGCACAGACTGGATTTTAGACCCCATTCTGCCCCCTTAGCCAGATGCTCTTAAGCAGTGAACAAGCTGCACCTATGTATAGCAACAAAAATGATCACTATTTTGATTATTAATACCATAAATTAAACCATGTTGGAGAATAGTTAAGAATGCTGAATAAAGTAACTAATTCTTGAGGAGAAGAGGGAAAATGACTGTCTTTGATGAGTTTCTCCCTTCACTGGCAGCCAGAGAGATAGGCAGGACCCAGACTACAGGACTCTGTTTCCTGAGATGAGCCTGGCCTCAGGCTGAGCCCAACAGTGCGCCATGACAGCAGGTCTGGATGGAAAATCCTGGGTAACAAGGCTCTGGGAAGGCTTCTTGGCTGAGACTGAGCAAGGGGATTAGTCTCCTACTATCTGAATCATTTCCTGTCTTGCTTGATCTTGTCCTACAGAAGGTAAATAAGGGGGTAACTCTATGCTCTTTTAATTCTCCTTCTCAAACAGAAAAAGCCAGTAGAGCAAATGTGTGAAGAGAGCTGTAATAGGGTTGAACTGAAAAGAGTTCATCACACAGACTGTAAAAACTGCTCTGAGACCACTGATCAAGCACACATGCTGACTCACTCTCAGGGCTTTCCACGTGCTGTTTGAACTGCCAGAAATTACCTTCACCCACCACCCATATGTCTAGAAAGCTCCTATTCATCCATCAAAACATATCTGAAACACCAACTCTGCCAGATAGCATTGATTCCTCTATTTCTGTGCTACTGTGAAATATCATACATACATTTCTTACTGTTGTACTGTTCGTCCTATAATTCATTTATTAATTGGGCTTCCCTTTAGACTATGAGGTTCTCAAAGATGGAGGAGGGGAGAAGCAGCTAAGCCTCATTCACCTTTGTATCTCTTGTACCTAGCAGGGTGCCTAGCACAAAAGTACATACTTGGTAAATACCTGCTGAATGAATGAACACATATATAACTGAACGTGTAAATGAATGAATAAGTGAACAAGTGGATGAACAGACCATCTTGCATGATTCAGATGTCCACCATTTGGATGAGTGTGCCATGTGTAGAAACACACTCTCTTGCTTAGATGCCATTACCTTGCCAAAGCCCTTAGAATTCAATTCCATCTCTTTCCACATTCCCCAAATCCTCAGATAGTCAACGTACTCTGGATTTGGTTTTCTCTTTTTTCACCAACATGGTAATTCTAAAGTCCAAAGTATACACTAAAAACTCACAAGTTGGCTGCTATAATAGGTTCAAACTCTTTAACATATAGAAAAGAAGAGGATATATTTCATCAGAATCCTGAAGTGTTCAAGTTCTCCAGGAAGGGATTATTCTGGTGTTCTAAACTTGTAATCACCTTTCTGATGATCACGAGGCTTGCCGATGGCTACAGGAGCTCTATGTGGCTCCTAGACAAAATTCCAGAAACACAGATCATCAGAGACTGAACAAATATTCAAATTATTTACTCCTACCTCCTTATTTTGATGATGAGAAAACAGACCAAGAAGATTCATCTCAAGACCAAGGTTGGAAACTTGAGTGAGGACCAGTATATAGGTTTCCTTACTTCATTTTTTAAATGTCAGCCACTATACAAGGAAATTTGTTTACAGCCTGGACACTGGCCTTCCAAGTAGCTTTTGCCAGCTGGCTAAGCCAGGCAGCACTGTGCTGATGCATCTGCTGGCTCTTGGGAAAGGCTAAGAGAAAGAGACGGTGGAGTGCTAGCTGCTACTTACTTGAAGGGCTTTTCTCCAGTGTGGGTTCGGATGTGGTTGTTGAGGGTGGTGGCCCCGGCAAAGGCACGACCACAGTAGCCACACTTGAAAGGCCGGTCACTAGAGTGAGTGACCACGTGGTTCCTCAGCTCTGAAGGTTGGGAAAAGGACTGGGAGCAGTGGCCGCATTGGTAGGGTCTGAAACAAATAAACAGACTGCCTGGTCATTATTTTCGGTGTTGCTCAGTGGAAGTCAGAATCATATGACAAGGGGCCAAAACTTCTTGGTGACATTTTCTCAATTTCTAAGACAGAGCATAGAGCTTTGGCCACTGGATTCGCACTACTTTACTTGTTGCCACAGGAACAAAATTCACAGAGCTGCAGAGACACATCAATTCCCAAATGAATATCCCTTTCCAGTACTAATCATACCATTTTGGAAACCCCTGCTTTCTCATTTTTATCTTCCCTCAGGCAAATGTTAGGGTACTTTTATAAGCAGTGAAAGCACAGACTTCATTAAGCAGATGTTACAAGAGAAAATATATAATTGTCTCTTATGCTTCCATGGCACTTTTATCTTTTCAATGTGCTTTGAAAATCAGTTATCCAGTTTAATCTTTACTATGGTCCTCTGGGACAGAGAAAGCAGTTGCTATTATCTCTGTCAGTTCAGAAAACTGAGGATAAACTGTCCTCCCAGGACATAAGCTCTTGATACTAAGGTCATTCTAAGATGTTTGGACCTTATCCTCAGTACTAGGTAAACACACAGGCAAGTCAGCAAGTTACACGTGTATTTTAATAGATATTAAACTGTGGTGCACTTATAGCATAATCACTGGTTTTGCACAGATGTGTCTCTTGTCAAAGAAATCCTGACTTCTACCTGCTATTTCCCCTCCAAATATTTACCCACCAGATCTTTCTCTTGAACATCACCTCCCTAGTTTAATCTGGCAGCAAGTCATGATTTATAGCAGCACATAAATGATAGGATGTCACTATGCTTGCGGAAGGATGACTCTGGTGCAACAGCAAATGGAAGGAAGTGGTGACAAATACCTGATAATTAGCAAGATTATCACAGCACATTCTTCCTAGCTCATGAGAAGTAAATCAATTTTTGGTTTTCATAAAATAGATTAAAATTCTGTCTTCTCTACAGTTCTTCTGCTTACTTAAGCAGAATATGATGAGTGATATAAAACCCAGGGAGTTTTCCCTATTTGAAACTATTTCATATCATTCCTTGACAGGATTCTAATTTGTTTATCAAAATGTTTGTTTGGATAATTAATAATCTGTCGTGAGGGTATTAACAGCATTCACTAAGCCCTGGCTTGTGGGCCAGACATTTCTGGCTGCATTTAGAAACCAATGGCAAAAGCAGACTTAATTGCTCAACCTTTAACAAATGCATAAGCTCCAATGATCAGAAACCAAAATGAAGGGCCAGGAGACAATGGTGACCGAGCATGTACCACAATTCAATTAAGTGCAAAATAAAGTGTACCCTCTCATTTGTCAAGTGAACTGCTTAATTGTGGCTACTTGCCTCACTGAACACAAATACTATTATTTCATCAGGCTTCAGCACACTGAGCCCTGATTGTAGAATTTTTTAGCTTGATTAATAGCCCAGGATTGGTCAATAACTCAATACTATACAATTTTAATTACTTACATTTAGAAATCTATCTACCTGCTCTCAAACAAGTTTCAAAGAAATATATAAAAGTCTTTGGTAAGGAGTTTATCAATCTTGACAAATTATGCATGCATTTTATGACAATTATAAAATAATCCTTTGAAAGCCATTAAAATTATACATAGATGAAAATATCCTCCTGCCAAATCTGTTCTTTGTGGTAAACATTAACCTTAAAGGGTTCCTGAAAAAATAATTCTCTCAAGGTTGGATTTTTTTAAATGTTATTGAAGATTATAAACAAAATAATATATTAATATATGCTATATCCACTGACAATTGATTTTTCTGATAGTGAAGGGACCATTAACATTTATTAGCCTCTGGTTATCTATTTTTAATAGCTATCACAATAAACAATAAGCCACTAAATAAAACCAATTAATCTTTTCTTTTTTTTCTAACTCTGCTGTCAAAAGTTGGGGTGATTTATTTCTCACAGTCAGAAGTCAATCCATCCTTTTTATGTTAATAGTTCACGGTGGCAAAGATTTACACACAGGGGAGCAGAAATGACCACAGAGAGGTTTATGTTGAATTCTTATATCAAAGTAACACCAATGGAAGGCAAAGCAGATTCTAAAACATCACCTTTGCCTGGAGCACCAGCCTGAGAGGCATATGCTAGGGATGCAGTGACCTATACGGCACCGTTTTTAAAACTTTGCAGAATTCTGTTTGAATGAACGGAAGGGCCTACAACAGTAGAGATAGGGCTCCTGACTGTTAAGCTGTGGCATTTGGACAAGCATTCAACTTTCCTGACATGTTTTCTCATCTACCTGGTAAGGGGAATGGACTGAAGATGCTGATCTCTTGCATCTCATCATGCTTGTTCTTGCTTTCAGGTAATCGACAAATGTGCGTCACCCAAGAAATCTGTACAATACAAGATTTCTTGCCTCCCAAGATACAGCAACACCAATATGATCTCTATTCTCCTTCACATCTACATGCTAGTTCGCTATACATGGAGCTTTCTGTGGTTCTATGTGTGTATATGCTCATTAGAATATGGAAAATTTAAACACATTGGTAAAAAGTTGAGAATTCAGAATAAGAAAATCTAGTACCAAAATATAGGACCAAACTTTGTTTTGGTTAATCTCAAAAGGCAAAGCAATATTCCTTCATTGTTAGGTACATTGAAAAATAAGATGTTAGACTACCTGGTCCCATTCACCTTTGCCAAGGCTGATTTTGTACAGAACTTAGAACCGAAGCAGGTACCTCACCTGCCCCTATAACAGCAGTGCCTTTTTCAGTCCAGAAATCTATAGAAAGTCCATAGAAATTACAAAAGTTACACTGTAAGTAGACAAGATTCCTTTAAACCCTCTTTTCTTGGATTGTCAATATTTCCTTAAAAATATGAATAAAAGAAAATGATCAAAAAGTAATTTTAAAATCGATTATGTCCCTAGGGTTTCCTAAGGACACAGGAGTACATTCAAAAATTAAATTTTCAGGCCCAACAGCAGAGCTTAGAAAACATTATCATCACTTTGGAATCTCAGGCATCACAACTTCTTTTGGACAACTGGCCACAGAAGTTAAAACTATGCTTGCACATTTCAATTAGCACATCCTAACTCCACATCTCTTAATTTACAGCCAAAGGACCTTTGGGGCACAGGATTAGTTGTCATTACTCATCTTTTTATTCTGACAACCAACATTCCCATTAATTTTCCAATGTCTGGCCAAAAGGTAAGAGTTAATTTATTATTAACCTTTTGAATATAGTAAGTTCTGAAGTTCTGCCTCCCATGATGTGTCATACTCGGAGACACTCGTAAGAACTAACATCCATGAGTGCTGGGTTTAGCTTTCCTATTTCCGGGATCTCATGACATTGCATGACTAAATGGGAATCTTCTTTATTTTTATTCTTTTTATTTTTTTTAGACAGGTCCTCACTCTGTCACCCAGGCTGGAGTGCGCTCATGTGATTTTGGCTCACTGCAGCCTCAAACTCTTGGGCTCAAGCGATCCTTCTACCTCTCAGCCTCCTGAGTAACTGGGACTACAGGCATGTACCATCATGCCCAGCTAATTTTTATATTTTTTGTAGAGATGGGGTTTCACCAGGTTGCCAAGGCTGGTCTCAAACTCCTGGGCTCAAGTTATACACCTGACTTGGCCTCCCAAAGTGCTGGGATTACAGGTGTAAGCCACTGTGCCCAGCCCCGAAATCTCCTTTTTAAAGCACTTTATTCTCTCCAAAGCATTTCATTCTTCTCAAAGCAAAGGCAATGATCATGTCTCACAAAGGGATAGCATCTCATGACCACAGTATTTTATGGCTTTTTTACCACTTAAGATCTTTAGTAGTATTGTCTAATGATGGAGCTGTTCTGTATCTGATCTACAATACTGGAGCCACAAGCCACATGCAACTGCTGCACACTTGATGTATGGTGAGTGCACCTGAGAAGTACTATTTTACTTGATTCAGATTAATTATGTGTAAATAGCTCTATGTGGCTAGTTCCAACACACATATATCCAGCTTGATGAAAAAACAGAAAGGTGCTCCTTATATAAGAAAGAAATAACTGAAGAACAGAAACCACCTGGGTAGATTTGGGTATTTGGCATATATCAATGCTGGTAAATGTTTAAGCAGAAAGACAATCTTGTACATCGCCTGGCACTCCTGGTCACTGGCAGCTCCTTTGCCAAAGATAACTCCAGTAAAATGTGCAATTCATTTGCTTTGAATCTGTAATTGGTTTGGTGTACACATGGGAAAAGGATGAAACATTTAACAAAATTAAGTATGGTTTGGCTTAAAATTATTAATCCTGCTTTGATTTTTCTTCCATGGCCTCCAGGACAAAACGTGTTCAGTTGGGGCCACATTCTCTCTTTGCTCAACATCAGCCAGTCCAAGTGCAAATCTCCCAAGACTTCAAAGGGAGATTACTTAGGTCACTGCTGGCTGTGTGGAGTGAGAAAAGAACTTAGTTCTATGTAAGGAGAAAAATATTTCAGGATGGTGACAGAAGTGCAAGACCAAAGAGCCAGAAGAACATCAAAGCTAGAAAGGAGATAACCTTCACACTTGGGGCATGGGGAAAAAGCAAGACACAGAACGCTGATACATTCTAAGCAACTATTATGAAGATGAATTCTCTCCAGGCCCCTCCTACCAGAGAGCCCCTGCTAATGTCTTTCTACCCTCTGGTTCCACCACATTTCTTACAAATAATGATGCTTCAAACACAAATGTGAACAGGTGATGGTGTGCCCAGGAAGCTGAAGGCAGACTTGCTCTGTGTGGCACAGTCAAAAAGGAGAATGGAAAAGAAAAGGGATGAAAAATAAAAATCAGCATTATAAACACATTTTCTGCAGAAAATAAAAGAGAACATATTTGTCAGAAAACAATCCACCGTGATTGAAGGCTTTGCTTTACCCTTTCTGGAGCATAGCCCCTACCACCTCACTGCCCCAGTGGGAGTGTTGAGAGTTTCTGTAGGAAAAAAAGGCCAGAGGAGTAAAGGGATTTCTAACTCCTGGTTTGAGCAAAAGCAAGAAAAGTTGCTTTGGCCTAGGCAATAAGCCGATGCAAAACCCAAATGTTTATAAAGTCCCTGAGCAAAATTTTGGTTGATCTAGATCTCAACAGCTTCTTCTCTTTGAATTTATTCAGGAAAAGAAAAAGTCAGTAACCTGGTAAAAAAGGAGAAATAGATTTTCAGTTTTGTATAATATTAACAGAACAAAATCAAGAAAAAATAATTCTGTGGCTCCTGGACCTTCATGGGTGTGTTTTTGTCTTTAGTATTGATTTCTACTTTGCCAGGTCAGACTGATTTTTTTTTTCTGTGTTGAATGTGAATAACCCAGTGGTGAAAAAGGATGAGGCTGGGATCCCTGAGTATACACAGATTTCTTTCCTTTATATCAAGGCATAGACTTTTTGATGATACCTCACATGAAAAATCTCATGAATATAGACGCATGAAGTCTCTTGGATGGAGGTTCAAATATCTGGGGTTTCATGGCCATATACTCAGTCCACTGAGTGAAAAATCATTTGGACCTCAGATTCAAGGGCCTGTTTCAAATTTGGACTTGTTTGAAACTCTAACCTATTTTACCTTCTGACTTTGTCTCCTGTGTCCCTCTTTCTTGCCTTTCTTTTCCCTGGTTCTAGCAAGATTTTCCTATCAAAATAAAAGCTTTTGAGTTTTTCAAACAAGGGAAAATGCTTTCTAACTATTCAGCCTTTTCACTGTAAATGGCTGAATGGGTGTATATCACTAAAGACTAAAGGCCAGCTGATGTGTGGAATCAATCACTAAAAAATATATGTATACAGGCTGAGCATCCCAAATCTGAAAATCCAAAATCCAAAATGCTCCAAAATCCAAGATTTTATGAGCAGCAACATGATGATCAAAGGAAATGCTCATTGGTGCATTTCAGATTTCAGATTTTCAGATTTGGCATGCTAACCCAGTAAGTATAATGCTAACATCCCAAATCCAACACAACCCCAAATCAAAAACTCTTCTGTTCCCAAGAATTTTAAATAAGGGATTCTCAACCTGTATTCAGCAGTTGTAATCCATGTGGATAATAACCATAAAAAGGTTCCAAATGCAGCTACTGTCATGAACACATTTGAAGTTCTAGTGTAGTTCTGAATATTTTTTCCATTTAGCGATTCACCCATGTGGTTAAGAAATTATGGAGAGTATCTTTTACCTCCAAACTTTCTGGTACAAACAGAGCATCCAGGGTTCTGGAACAGAAATAAGCCATTCTAGCCCTTTATACTAAAACTAATTATGTATATAGAATAAAACTAGGGCGTCCAAGTGACTGGGTATCTCCCTCTATTTCCCATGGTCTTCAACAATCAACTCATATGTGATGATGTAATTCAAGCATCTCTTTGTTACTAAGAAACATTGTACTTTATTACTTTGCTTATAAAAGGAACTGATTTTTTGAAGTAATAATTTTTAATTTTAACTTATTCAAGAAGTTGATGGTAACACCTCTCAAGTGTTTTTTTTCTTTTTTCTTTTTTTTTTTTTTGTGACAAAGTCTCATTCTGTTGCCCAAGCTAGAGTGCAGTGGTGCAATCTCAGCTCACTGCCACCTCCACCTCCACCTCCTGGGTTCAAGAGATTCTCCTGCCTCAGCCTCCCAAGTAGCTGGGACTACAGGTGCACATCACCATGCCTGGCTAATTTTTATATTTTTAGTAGAGACTGGGTTTCACTATGTTGGCCAGGCTGGTCTTGAATTCCTGACCTTGTGATCTGCCTGCCTCGGCCTCCGAAAGTGCTGGGATTACACACGTGAGCCACTGTGCTCAGCCATCTCTCAAGTCTTTACCAACAAGGTGCAGGGAAGGAACCCACTGCTTCAGTAATTTAATCCCACTTTGGCTCCTTCCCAGATAACAAGCACTCATTACTTCACCTCATTTGGAAAAGCTGGCAATTCCACACTTGGACATCTGAAGCAAATAAGCCTATCAGGGTCTATGACAAGACAGGCATCTCATGCCACCTAGATTTTTGCCAATAACTCTAAATTAGCTTGGAATCAGTACAGACCTAACAATACATTTCCCACTGAAATGTATTTTGAATATGTAAGCTTTCTAGTTTTTGAGACCTATATTTTTTTCTGTTAGTTACCATGCATAACAATATTATAAATCATGATACTATTCTTCTACAGGACAGACATCATAACACACACATATGATTTTCTAAGTGTAACTGAGGTCAGACAAAATAGTTTGTTTCAGTATCTACTTAGCATGAAATAGTTTCATTGCTTTATGGCATTCAGCATAAATTCATCTCATCTCATCCTCAAAGCTACACTTTGAAAATTCTACTATCCAGAAATTTTCAACTATTATTTTAACTGGCATGATTAGTTATGACAATGAAATTTTGCAAATAATAGATTCACTGAATTCAATCTATTTAAAAAGCAAGTTTATAATAAGATTTTAATGCATCTTTTGTATTTTAAAGACTACTAAAATGCTTTGCAAACTTAGAAGAGATATATCTGGAGGTTCTATGTACACTTGCGAGGAGGCAAATTTTGAAAAAAGAAATCTTTTCTGAATGAGGAAAACATTTTCAAACGTTTGTATCGCCTCTACACCAACAGTACTAAGATGTGCAGAAGTCTGTTGATATTCTCACCAGGGGACACCCCTATTGAAAATAAAAGATTGTGAAGACATAGCTGCCTTAAATGCCCTAATTAATGTTCCAACATTAATTAGCTACAGCAATGTTGATGCTAAGCAAGTGGTTTTTCCAACAGCACAAATGAAGACGTATGCATGTGTAATGAGCATATGTATCCTGTAACTGATGATTATTATTTTATAAAATATCCACCTCCTCTCCCCCACACCTCCATCGTCCCTGTCTTTGCTTGGGTTTTCTAGGCACACAGTGTGTCCTACAGAGCTGGAAGGGAAGAGCTGGGTGTATATGATTAGGAGAGGAGAGCCAAGTTAAAGTTAATTAGTGGCAAAATTAAGAAAATAATCCAGAGTCCTGCTTCCAAGTCTCCTATCCTAGCTTCAAAAATTATCTTCTGCTTTTATATTTAAAGTGCATTTGGAATGCTATTCTTGGATACTTGGTTTTTAATCAAGTTTTCATAGGACGTGAAGGAGAGAGAAAACACAAGCAATCCTTTCTTATTGAATTAATTTGATTTTTGTCTTTTGCGCTCCCAGCTATCAAAACTGTCGAATAAACCGGTTTTGATTCATAAATAATAGTTCCATTATATCTACTGTGCCACTCGTCAGAGCACCTGAAATTTTAATTCACTTGTTCAGCTAAATTTCATCCTCAGTTCATGGCCATAAAACTCTTTATTGACAAACTTTCAAACCAACTTTGACTCTGAGGTATCTAGTCAACATTTTTCTTCTGTGTGGATATTAGTTTATTGAATAAGTGGCATCTGTTTTCCTCCACATCACTAGCAGAGTAGGTATTTCCTTTTGACAGCTTTGCAGGATTTATGGGTTTGCATGCTCTGAAGAAAAATAGTACTAAGCAAAAAATTCCAATTCATTACCTCTTGGTACTTAATTAAGTTCATACCCACGGCACACTGGAGGTGAACCCTGAAATGACTGTGACAGCAGCAGAGCAGCCAGCTATATTATCTTTGGAAGACAGAGAGGATTCTAATTATCCTGACCTCATTTTTCCATCTATGATATTCATAAACATTCCTTCTATTTCTCTTCCTTTTAAGCTTGGACAGAACTGTTTGGAAGGCAAGTGCAGAGTTTCCTCTGCAGCCACCAACCTGTCCGTGTAGCCCTTACATGCAAGAAAGTCAAGCAGTGGTCTCACATTTCTCTCTGACCTTCCAGAATGCAGGCACTGCTTATCACAGGGCTTCACCTGTGGAGGCACTCAGAAGTTGGCAGGAAGGCAAGCAGTGGGTCTCACTAAGCAAACACACTGTCAGCAGTGAGAGTCAGGGTTACCTGTCAGGGTTCTGCGTGCACACGTGCATCTGTAAGAGGATCCGCTGGGTGAAAGTCTTAAAGCACTGACCACATTTCCAAAGATGCCAGTCACTGAACTCCGAGTGGAGCTGGCTTGTGGAAGTCGGACTTGCAAGGACTCGCTGGTTTTTCACGTTGATTTGATTAAATCCTGACTCAATGGGCCCAGACTTATCCAGGAGAGAGAAGTTCCTGCTGCACGGAGTCTGGGGGAAAACAACGGAGCGCTGCTGGGTGGCGGGGGTGAGTTTGCTGCTCTTGTTGAAGGGCTGCAGGGCATCTTGTCTGCACATGGCTTCCATTACCGTTGAAGGGACATTTACTAGGAGAATAGCAATAGTTTAGAAGATCAGTTTTACTAACCTTTAAAATAAGCACAATAACGCATACTTTCAAAAAATCAAATAAATTGACATTTCAAAAATTTGTGTTTCTGGACTCAGAATTAACATAATAAAAATCTGATTTGATTGGAAAAAACTATTATCACAAATTAATAACTCACCCAATTCCTATTTATTAAGCAACTACTATATGCTCAGGATTGTCTTGCATGGTCTTTGCCCTCATGGAGTTCACTTATGACTCGAGACCTACAGGAGTCCATAATGAGGTCCCACACTGCACCTATCCCTGGAGGGAATTGAGATGGGAGGCACAGCAAGGGAGAGGAAGTGAGCAGGGGATGCTGCCCAAAGAGGGTAGCCCGGAGCAGCACAGAGAAAGTAGATTCAGCTTGACTCCTGGAGAATTTCAGGCTTTCCTCCAGTACAGAATAGGTATCACAGGATTGGCAGCACAGGTTAGGTATCAAGGAAAAGCTATTTGAAGAGATGAAGGAAATAAGATGAAAGACACCTGGAGGCAGGAGAAGTCTAGCATGCAGGTGGGATAGTAAGGAGATGGCTGACTGAGCAGGGCGAGGGATCTGGGCACTCTAGAAACAAGGATTGGGGGTCAGAAGGAGACTTCAGAGGGCCTTAAAAGTCCAGATAAATAAATAAGAGATTTCAGACTGAAGAAATAGACACAGACCATTTCTGAGCAGAGGAATAGCAAGAAAAATAGAATTAGTGTTTAGGAAGGGATTGAGAGAGACCTGATTTACAGATGGGATGCAAGTGAATAAGGAAAGAGAAGGAGGCAACCGAATGTGGTGCTTGTCACTCAGGCTTTAGAATCAAAGACCCAGGTTCAAATCCTGCCTCTGCCTCTTATTAGTTTGGTGATCTTAGGCAAACTATTCAGTAGCTCTGGGCTGTAGTTACTCCATCTGTAAAAGGAGGACAATGGCACTAATGCTTCTAAGAATAACAGCAGTATGGTATGGTGGTTGAGGTGGCTGAGGTTTTAACTCCACTATTTACTATCCTTGGGCAAGTATGGAACATCTAAATCCATGATTTGGTGCTGGGTATTGTGTAAAATAGTCATCATAAGGACTGAATGAGATAATACAGAGATAGCATTTAGTAAAGAGCTTGACCTATGGTTGACACTCAATAGATGTTCAGCCCTATGAGCCTTGGCATCCTCATCTTTAAAGTCCCCTTCTACGAGGTTTAAATATGTCAATGAAAGTACTTATCACAGAGCCTACCATGAACAGCAACCACCATTATTATTATTATAGAAAGAGAAGTGACGGGTGTGAGGGAGACAGCCCTAAACTGGGCTGGTGGCAGTGGAAGTGGGGAGAGAATGAAAAGAAATACTTTGGAGGAGGATAATCTAATAATATATCTAGAATTTGTTGTTCTTTTTATTAAGATAATAGTGAGTTAATAATATTTATAAACTATTTACTGGTCATTCCATAGGTCCAGAAGTGATTAGAACCTAATAGGCTTTAAAAATTCTTTTTTGAAAAAGTAACTACTATATCTATGGGTCATTTCAAGGCTCAGAGAGATTAAAGTTACAGGGTGGTTAAGAGAATGAAATTAGAGACCAAAAATTTTGAAAAGGATGATTGGCAAAAGATTGTGATAGCAAGTAACAAAATAATGCAGACTATGGCCACTGGCCATGGGTTCAAGGCCCCATGGAAGGAAACGCATGACCTGGGAGCACTTCTCATGCCCCACCACAGACCATCACCGAGAATGCTATGAAGACACAGGCATCTGTGGCACGAAGATGCAGGCATCCTCAAGGGCAGGGTACTGTGACTGCCACGAAGCTCTGTGTTTCAGTGGACAGGAAGATGCCGTGTGTGGGCACAGAATGGGGTAGGTGTGCTGCCTAAACACTCTTCAACTCAGAATGTTCTGTAGAATCACATGTGTTAAGCAAATTCAACGAGAGTAGTAGCTCTGTCTGCAGGGTCTGTCTGCATAGCCCACACTGTCTTAGGAAAGAAAAGTAAAGCAAGAGACTTGGAGACCTAGAAAGCGCCTAAAACTTGTCTAGTTGCCAAGGCAGTTCTTAACCTTGGCTACTGCACATTAGACCCACACACAAGAATCTTTAAAAACTACATTATAATCTCTCAATAGGGCCTGGGTATCTGCATTTTTTAAAGTTCCGCAACTGCTTCTAAACTGAAATCAGGGCTGAGAATCGCTGATCTATTCCTACCTTCTCTGGTTACAAATGACAAAAGCCGAGTCCCAAGAAGGTCCAGTAACTTGCCCAGGGTCACACATTCAGTTAAGAACACATCTAGGTGGTGAGTTTTAGCTTTCTAAATTATAAATCAGAATTTTCTTTCTTCTGACCATAGACTCATAGCATCTCTGCTCAATAGCTGTGTTTCAAAATTTAAAGGATATTTTTACAGCTAGTACATTGTTTTGTGTGTATTATCACATTATATATATATTTAAGTTACATATACTTAAGTGATACATATACTTATATACACCTACATATGTATGTATGTATGTCTTTATTCTATATACAAATATTTATGTATATTTGAACTTCTGGGGCAAAAGTATATAGTCAGTATAGAATTTGTGAATAGTTTTTACACTTAATATTTTAAGGCACACACACTGTTACTTTTTAAATAGGCACTGAAAGACAAGAAGGAATGTTTTGCCATGTTTTGGCTTTTTTAAAAAAAATAAAACATAAAAACAGCAGCACTGTCAGAGATCAGGGTATAACCATCTTGTTTGGCTGTTTCATTGCTAATCCAGAAGAAGCAAAGTACAGGGAAGCCCACAAGGTTATCGGCAACACTAAGCTTTTTCAGGCCAGGCAATTTCAGACTAACAGGAAGGAATGCATGGTAAGAAAATTGTAGAATGAAGATGTCATCAGCACACAGGAGAGCGGGAAACACTGGCCAGCCACTTCACTGTACGAAAAGGAATAAAATGCCTTTGAGGGGAAATAATACAAATAATACTCTAAGTGTAGATGATAGATTCTGAATTCTGACTTACACTCCTAGAAAGTAACCTAATTGATTAATTCTAAATAATTGTTAAGGTGATATAACCTTTACATTAAAACAAAAGAATGTGTGGGTGATAGGGAAGTAGGGATGAAGAGAGATTGATTAATGGGTGGAAATTTACAGTTTGGTAGGAGAAATAAGACCTAGTGTTTGATAGATCAGTAGGGTGATGATAGTTTACAACGCTCTATTGTATATGATCATGCCACTGCACTCCAGCCTGGGTAACAAAGCAAGACCCTGTCTCTTAAAAAAAAAAATTAAAGCAGAACATTTTAGAAGGCACACAAGATGATTCTTCCTAAACATCAGCCTCACTGACTATGGCCATCAAAGGTGTAAACTAAACACAGAAAATTTTCAGAGAAAGAACAGGAAATTTCAGCCCAACACAAGAAAGACAACACAGACAACTGCAAAAGGTGCAGAGGTGGATTATTAAAATGACCAAAAAGATGAAGTGGTTTCTGCATGAAGCAATATTGAGCTAGTCAATTTCTTTGGTCTGGAAATGCAAAGATTAAGGGGAAGAGGGCAAACTCCCAAAGCTTGAAGGATACAGTCAAGAACATGAACTCATGAAATCTGGACAGTTAAAATATTGAGAGAGGCAAATTTGGGATCCACAAAACAAAGTTCAACTTTACCCCTTCCTCATTCATTCATTCAGTCCACAGATAGTTGCTGAACATCTATTCCATGCCTGTCCCTGTGCTAGGCACCATGGATACAGGGGAACCAAGAAAGTCACGGTCCCTGCCCTGTGGCACATAAACTCTAGTGGGAAAGACAAATACTAAGCTGATGTTTCTACAGATAAATGTTTACTCAGTTTCATCAAATCTAATATTCCATTAATTTCACCATTATAATTGTAAGTCACAATTAATTGCAAGACACTTGCCAGTTTCAGAAAGATTAAAATGTAAAAAGAAAACCCATACATTTTAGAATTGACAAAATACAGTTATGACAAGTATGGTTAAGTGTTGTTAGAGAAAAGAAAGGATGCCAGGAAATGATAAATCAGGGATAGCTGAACTTGGCGTATGAGCAAATCTGAGTCCTGAGCGATACACAGGCATCATACAAGTGCAAAGGGAGGAAAAGGAAACGCAAGAAGATGGAACATTGGCAGCTTTGCCAGAGTTTTGTGCCATGCTGAGGTAGGAAGGAGCTCAGTGCACTAAAGGAATGGAAAAAAAGTCAATGTGGCCAGAGAGAGAAGGGGAGATGGGCTGCAGCTGAGGCTGGAGAGGAAGGCAACACAATTACCAATGCCTGTGGGAGCTAGACAGGCGACGGAAATATGTGATGGGGTAGGAGAATATGGGGGTGGGGGTAGGAGAAATAAGGCAAGTATATTTCGCTGGAGGCAAGTTAACACAATAGAGGATGGTGGGGTCAGTAACACCCCGAACAGGGCATAGTCTAGAGATGTTTGGAATCTAATATTGTAAAATACTTTATGGACCATAGAAATGTTTCTGGACACTCTATATGACCCATAGGCAAAGAGCAATGGCAAGCTGAAAAGAGATTTTAAGCTTGGGTGTCAGGTGATCAGATTTATGCTTTTTTTTTTTTTTTTTTTTTTTGAGATGAAGTCTCACTCTGTCACTCAGGCTGGAGTGCAGTAGGGTGATCTTGGCTTATTGTAATCTCTGGTTCCCAAGTTCAAGTGATTCTCCTGCCTCAGCCTCCTGAGTAGCTAGGAATACAGGCATGCGCCAACATGCCCTCTACTTTTTGTATTTTTGGAAGAGATAGGGTTTCGCTATGTTGGCCAGGCTGGTCTCAAACTCCTGATCTCGTGATCCACCCCGCTCAGCCTCCCAAAGTGCTGTGATTCAGGTGTGAGCCACCACACCTGGCCAGATGTATGCTTTAAAGGCATCATTACTCTGTATCAG